AGCGGTTGATGTTGTCTTAGTTAACCATTTTTAAATCAACAAATTATATAGTATTATTATTAGCATAAGAATTTATATGCACAAAAGGGAGGAGAAAGTAAGACATCAGTTAGCTGGAGTTTTGGAATCGATTGGACCGTTTAACATTACTTTTCACTGTATTTAGGAGAGGCTGATATACAAAATGTCAGAATTACTTTTTTGGCATGACACTTGCAATAAGAGCACTATTTTTGTGCTATATAATCCCACTTCATTAGGTTTTCAAGACAGCCCTTGTTGTAATAAATATGTAATTCACAACAAAAGTATGTGACGGCAGTTTGCATACCATATTGATTTGAGTATTTTCTCTGTCCTCAGCTGCTCATATTGGTGTAGGGATCAGCGGGCAGGAGGGCATGCAGGCCGTACTGTCCAGTGACTTCTCCTTTGCTCAGTTCCGGTACCTGCAGCGCCTCCTATTGGTGCACGGCCGCTGGTCTTACCTGCGCATGTGCAAATTTCTACAGTATTTCTTCTACAAAAACTTCACCTTCACTTTTGTGCATTTTTGGTACGCCTTCTTCTGTGGCTTCTCTGCACAGGTGAGACAGATTCAATATACTTTTACAAGAAAACTAAAAAACAATTTTTATTTCCAGATAATATTTTGAAGTGACTAAAGAAATAGTTTGTGACACTTAAAGTGAGGGTTTGTAGCTTGCAGTCTTGCTGCTTTAAAAAAGGTTCTACAATAACAACTGAAATTTGGTGGCCAGTGTCTTATATATGTTTATTATTTATTTATTTATATTAGTTTTGTTTCAGATCATTTTAGGTTTAATACAACTCAATTTCAGCATTGAAACTGGCAACCCAAATGAGAAACTGTATTTCTTGATTGGTTTATAATCTTTAAGAACCAGAACACCATATTATAACAGTTATAAACAGGCCAACATGTTGTTGTTTTTGTCTAAGTTGTATTCAGGAACACAAAGGTTAGGTCAAGGTTACAAAATTTGTAATAATAAATCTCTCTACTCTCTCTTTAATGTTGCATAACAACAACACCTTTAACTGTTTTACAGTACAGAATATGGAAATCATTATGTGTTTTGTATTTCAGACAGTGTATGACGAGTGGTTCATCACTTTTTATAACTTGGTATACACAGCCCTCCCTGTACTTGGCATGAGCCTATTTGACCAAGTACGTAAAATGATAAAAAATATTACAATTAAAACTATGCCAACCTACCATAATACTGTGTTTCCTTGTGATGCAGGATGTGAATGACCGATGGAGCTTCCAGTACCCTCAGCTATATGTCCCAGGGCAGCTCAACTTCTACTTCAGTAAAAAGATTTTCGTGCGGTGCATGCTGCATAGTTGTTATAGTTCCCTCGTCCTGTTCTTTGTCCCCTGGGCAGCCATGGTGGACACAGTTCGGGATGACGGCAAAGATATTGCAGATTATCAGTCCTTCGCTCTACTGGCCCAGACCTGTCTTCTGGTGGTGGTCAATTTCCAGGTATCACAAAGAACATTTCTTTATTTATTAAAACATCTATTTAGGAATCCACAGTAGAGCAGAGTCGAAAGTATCAAAAATCAGATACAAAGGAATACAAAAAAATTGTATTGAAACTAGATTTTTTAGACTCATACTAAACTCAAGTTGATACTAAAAAAGTCACATAGAATGAAGCTTTCCTGAATAGCTTTAGAATGATCTTGAGCTGTATCAGAACAACTATAAGAGCACATAGACTAGTATCCGCCCACGGACCACTATGGAGCATAACTGGACAATTGAGTGATTACATAGATATAACACCACATGGCAATATAAAAGAATGTACTATGTAAGTAAAATAAAATCCAAATACCTATTTTCAGTACATGCAGTACATATGTTTAGTAGTTACTTCCCAACACTGCCACTTCACTTATGAAATTCATAATCTATGTGTTCTTTACAGCTTTGTTTGGATACCCACTACTGGACGGCAGTGAACCAGTTCTTTGTTTGGGGCAGTTTATCGGCTTACTTTGCCATCAGCTTCACCATGTACAGCAATGGGATGTTTCTCATTTTCACTTCTGCTTTCCCTTTTATAGGTGAGTCTTAATTTGATAAAGATTTCTTACAAAAATCATAACTTCAGAAAGTTGAAAACAGCATACAAAACCCTTAGTGCCTCAATGATTATAATTAGTTACACAGCGCCCCTTATAACATGCATAGTCCTTTATTCAACACAAATCTTCAAAAAAAGAAACACTGCTAAAAATAATGTAGTATTAAAATAAATTTTACCCTGAATGGTCTTGTATTTTAGGCACAGCAAGAAACTCCTTAAACCAGCCCAGTGTGTGGCTGACCATCCTGCTGACCACTCTGCTGTGCATCCTGCCTGTGGTGGCTGTACGCTTCATTTTTTACCAGCTTCGCCCAACTATCAATGATAAGGTGAGAAAATCTAAATAGAGTTATCTGTTTTTCCATACATATGTTGTCTATCAGGTAACTTATCTGCAACAAATTTGTATTATAAGACTAACTTAAGTGTCATCAATCCAACTTTCTGATACCAATGAAAAATACTTTATACCAAAAAAGAAAACAAAAAACAATGTCCAATATCAACCAGTACTAGAGCAGAGACAAAAACACAAGACAATATTATAACGTGTATAACTGAACTTATGCACCAGAGGACAGTGTTGAAAGCATTGAATGATTCCCTGCATAAAGCTGGATTAAAGCTGAAAACTGTTTTGAACCACAATCTGCATATTTTCTGATCTCTGGCCAATCGGAGCAGGCAATGCGGTCGTTATATGTGTTTGGGGGTATTAAATAAAGCTGCTGTACTCAGTGGCTGAGATTACATGCACACTCAAAATCTCATTAATATAAAAATATTTTGTTCTAAGATTGTTTATATGCCATGTAAAAAAAAAATGAAAAAATCAAATTTCTTTATGATCATGGACCCTCTGATTACTCACATCAGATTTAGGTAAGCGTCTCTGAGTGTCCAAAAAAGCACTATAAAAGTCAGATGTATTATTATCATTATTATTATTATTAAGTACTCTTAAAGGTCCAGAAATCGGATTATAATCAGATTTTGGGGTGCAACTGTACAAGGTCAGTAGCTCCTATGATTTTTAAATGACTTTATTTAATGTATTTAACTTATGTATTTTACCAGGGCTACTGCACTTTTATTTATGTTGTCCTTGTTCTGTTCTAATTACAAAATAAATAAAAAAGTGCAAGAACCCAAAAATCTACTCTAGTACAGTGACTGTATTTGTATTTGTAGTAGTTTTATAATTTTTTCATACTTCATTTCAAGTGCTGTCTGTTTTTTGATGCTCTAGGTGAGGTATAAAGTGAGAAAAGAAGCTCTCCCCGCTCCCGCCCCTCGCCGCCCTCCTCCTCGACGAATCAGTACACGGCGTTCGGGATACGCCTTCTCCCACAGCCAGGGCTATGGAGACCTGGTCACGTCCAAATGGGTGCTCCTCAAACGGAAGAGCAGACCTCCACTTTTCACCAAAACCAGCGACTCTCCTCTGGCCCAGAACCAACCTCAGCTCTACCGCACTATCACCGAGGAGAACGAGGAGGCACAGACTCTGTAGGCTGCAAGGACTACAAACATGGCCGACTGGCATTTAGAGTGTTTTACATAGAGGTGCACTTATGAGAGGAAGCACAGGGTAAATGTCTTTTTATAAAGAAAACACTTGAGATTAGCCTTAAATGAGATTAAAAACTCCAAACTGAAAATTATTATTACATTTGCATTTTGTAAAATATGTGCCATACGCTTAAGTATAGAATCATTAAAATTGTGGCAATGTCAGTTTTATGCATTTTTAATATTGGCTGTGCATTTACATAAATAAAATAAATATTGAAAAAATGTTTTGTCAACATTTTCCAATCTACGCAGCCAGGGGGCAGTGTTGTATTGGAGTTAGAGTAATTCAAAAACAACTCTAGCACAGATTAGGGCTGTAAACCTGCCATGATTTAATCGATCGGTTGAGTTTTAGTCAAGCAAAATCTGTATTTGTCAACTACATCAAGATTTATATTATATATGTATGTCAGAAAGATTTGGTATAATTTAGTTTTTTTGTATAAAAATGCAACTTTAACTCATTCACATGTTTAATCTGTTTTTAAATAAAAACACTGTTTTCTAGTACTTTTTTCTGTATAAAGTAGTCTTGTGAGTGCAGTTTCGGTCAGATACATAAAAACACATAAGCTTTTTAGTTGACTCATTCATCAGCAGGACATGTCTTAAAGCTACCATCTGTTATTAGATTGGCTGACCCACCTCTGTTGTATCTTTCACTTTCACCACTAGATGTTACCTGCATTACTTTTGTCTGACAGTGTGTCAGCTTTGACCTGACAGAAGAAGACCAGAGAGCACCGAGAGCCTGAGCTAAAGCCAGGTGAGGGGTGAAAAGCCAGGTGCCATCTTCTGGTGAAAAAAATCAAATATTCTTGCAGATGGTAGCTTTAAGTCACCCAAGAATTTCTTTAGACTACTACAGTCCTATTACGGATATTATTATTATTAGCTGATTATTTCTAGAACAAATCACAAGGTTAAATCAAAATATAAACTAATGTAAAATTACTAAGAAGAGTCAGAGAATGTCCCAATAGACAAAAATATCTGTTTTTACTAAATAATTGATACAAAGCCCTCTTTTGGTCCCTGCTCCTCTGTGTGCTTTAATTATGGATGACTTCATGTGTACATTCTGTTCTTACTTCCACTTCACTTCTCCGTCTTTCACCACGTTTCACCTACACTGTACATGAATGTAGCAACCCAGAGGTGGAAGACAATTTGCAACACATTTCAAATAGTTTTAGTTGTAGAACCAGTAGTAAATGACAGCTGACAGTACATCAGAATTTGCAGTACAGTATATATCACAAAAAACTGTCAAGGATTAGTTACTTAATTGTCATTACACAGGTATGCAAAAATGCTGTTTAGCATCTAATCACATGTGCAAACAATGTATTCCAAAGAGTTTACATTATTATAAACTGTACTTTACTATGTTCTAATATAAACAGATTATTAAACATCATATATTTTGCAAATCTCACTCATTACACAAAATTGACTCTTGTGAACTTTTAGCCATGTTATCATGTTGTGACCTCATCAAAAGCATATCTGGACTTGTGTTTAGTTTCATTCCCCACATGATTGAGTAACCCTTTATTATTAGTCTGTCTACATTTCCAAACCTCAAAATGCTCTGTTCTGTCTTATGATGTGATGAAGCAGTAGTTATCAGGTTAATTCCAGGGCTGAAATTATCCAAATGATTCTAGTGAAGGTTTAAATACAGTGGAGTACTTCCCGTGTTACCAAATGGCATCACACGTCACATCCATATGCAGGTGTGTGTTAAACAGGTCCAGAAATCAGATTGTAATCAGATTTTGGTGTGCATGTGAGCAAGGCCAGTTACATGTGACGTGAGTTATCGAATTTCTTTCTGACTGTGCGCACCTCTGCAAGTTTTGAGAAAGAAATTAGGCAATTGAGGAAATTTGTTATAGATTGAAAGAGTTACATATTGTACTTTTGGTCCGCTTATCTTATCTTTTATTTATCTGTTTGTTTGTTTTTTATTGGCCATAGGCAAATGCACCCAGTGACATTCTTTACATGTCTGAATAGAGAATGCAAAATAATGCTTGGAAATGTTTAAGGACTAGAAATCAATTAGTAAAATAAATCCTATAGCGGCCTTACATGAGTTACTTTTTTCAGTTGTATCTGAGCCTTCTGCTCTTACCTCTCCTCCCTGTGTCAGCATGTGTGTTAGTCTCCACTGAAGGTCAGCCATGATCTACTGAGTGGAGACGAGTGACCTTTGGCATGGCATAAAAATAGTCCAACTGTGACTAGGGAACAGTATATTTAAGACAGCTACACCTATGTCCAACATGCAGAGTCTGACCGAAATGTTTCTCAATTATTTTAATCTGATGGAACAGCAGTAAGGACAGTCTGGTCTGCTAATGTTACAATGTTTTTTGTGTTCTTTGTATGGATCTTTTTTTTTCTTAAAGGTGTAACTTTTCTCATGAGGAGCCCAACACTTTCTTGTCTCCAGGGAGATGTTATTGCTTTGTTTGGAATGTTCCACAGTAGTGCATTAAACTGATCTATATAGGCTTAATTCACACTTACGTCACAAACCAGGAAGACGTTTAGAAACATGCAATGACAACTTCTGGGGTAATTACCAACACTGGGCTCGCCGATCGACTGTAATATTGAAGCAAATGTGATCAGAGGTAAAATGGAGACTGCATACTTATGTGCTGTTTGGAATTATCTTGAATTTGGAGCGCTCTTCTCTTCTAATTGCATGTACCCAGTGCACTCGGAGTTATGTGTCAGTGAGGAAATGATGAAAACTGAGGTGTGGTTGTAATTATTGAAAAGCCGAGCATAACGGAACACTACAGTAACATGATGAAGAAAACTGGGCCATTTTCTCTTTTTTCCTAGATTTTGTCTGTCTTACTACCACAAACAGAGCCTCCTGGAAGTTGTCATCACATTTCCAAACGTCTTCCTTGTTTGTGATGTAAGCGTGAATTGAGCCTATAGCATTTTCTCAATTACAGGTGTTTTTATTGCCCAAAAGTACTATAACAAACATGCATTTGTACTGTGAGCTCATCTCTCCATAGATCTGACCTGTAACTTGGCCTCATGATGTCATTTTCTTTATAAATAAGTTTGCTAGCATACTGTGGAACATTTTAAACAAAGCGATAACATCTCCATGGACACAAGCAGGTGGTGGACCCTTCACTGGAAAAGTTACATATTGCACATTTAAAATATTAATCTGGTTCACGCAGCATCATGATGATTACTCGAATTTGATTGGTCGCAGCTTCACAACAGCGGAACAACCCGAAAAAATAATTCCAATACAATCCAACTTTATTTTTATAGCTCAATTTATAAACAAGACCGTTTTACATAGGAACGTAAAAGATTTAACTCTAAAAAGTCAGCAGAATTATGTTGCAAACAAAAGGAACTAATAGAGTCAATAGATAAAAGAATAAAAATAAAATCAATAAACAAAGGCAGCACCAAAAAAAAAAAAAAAACAAAGAAAAGAAAAAAATACAATAAATAATAAATAAATCACCATCATTCAATTGAACTTGCCAAACTTGACTAACTAAACAACAGAACATAATAAAATGAAAAGGGCTACAAAGACACACCCAGATTTTATAATATAATCTCCTTAGGGTAAAGTTCAAGCGACATTGAAGCACAGGCTCGGAGTGGTTAGCGCCTGTAATGAGAGACCAAGGAGAGGAGAAGAATTTCACACATGACAGTCCAGTATGCAGACTACAGAAGACCACTCTGCTACTGAGATCACCCCAGGAAGTACATACAGATATCAGAGCTACATCCACTTTTATGACTGATAACGTCTTCAGCTGGAGACTTGGCACATACTGCAGTGGTGAAATTTGATACCTAATATACTAATATACTACTTTTACTATACCTTCTACACTTACAAACCTCACCCTACTAACGTCTTTACTACTACTGCATTTATTGCTAATAACATGGCAGGTATTACATTACTGATTTTATTGCTACTCCAACAACTACTTTACTACTACTACTACATTAGCTACTTCTACTATTACCAGTATAGGTTGTAAAAGCTAATACAAAGTTCTACAAGACTAAATAGATGCCTGACAGATCAGCTTTTCCTATATGTTTTAAAACTGTCAGATTTTCTACTTTAGCATTCAGTTTGCATTCTGTACTGTCACAAAACATAGTACATTGCATAGTACAGAAAGTAATTAAAAGTAAAAAAAAAAAAAAGTAAAATACTCAGTTGACACAAAAACGGGTTGGATTTTGAAGAATATATGTTTATTTATTTATTTTATTTTATTTATTTATAAAAAATTTTATGGGCCACTTCTCCAAAATAGTAAATGAATGTTTATTTGGACAATAATACATAGAACGTGCATGGAGGACATAAATAAATATATATTTAACACATAAAGTAAATATTAATTTTCTGTAATTATAAGCAAAAATAAATGTCACGCAGATTTTACTTGTGTCAACAAAGAGCTATAATTCACAGTACTTGCATTTCAGTACAAATCTAACAATAACAAATATATATATATATGTATATATATATATATATATATATATATATATATATATATATAGAGAGAGAGAGAGAGAGAGAGAGAGAGAGAGAGAGAGAGATAGTGCTTATTATCTTATTATTGTTAATTAATTGTAATAGTAATAGTAATTAATTGTTAGCTAAGTATTTACTTTACTTGCCACAAGCATAGCTGATTTGAGTTTGACTTTTTTCTGAATTGTGCCTAACATTTGTTCTCCAAAATGACTGCTTACATTCTGCAGACTGTGGACATACATATCCATACATATACATTTTTACATCGATAAAATCAAGTGGCGCCAGTGTTCATTCCGCCTAAGTCTTCAGCTCGTGTGAGGATTAACTGTTTGGCGTTTCACTGCACTGTGTAATAGATAGGGGGCAGTACAAAGAGGGAAAGTATCGTCAGCTGAGCCCTGTCTAAATAAAGGATTTCCATGTAACCTTCAAACGTGTGTGAGCTTCTGCCAGCTGTCCTATTAGCCAAATGAACAAAAGTGACAACGCGACCTGTGCTTCACATAAACAGATCCTCACTTTCTACTGTTATCTTGATATTTTTGGCTCTTCTTAACTCAAAGCAAACAGACAGATGTCCCTTGAACTTGTGTTTGAAATAGGAGATAGCCTATGGTCAGCCCCATTGACCCCAAAGAAGTGGGTCAGTTTAAC